ACTTCAAATACAAAATACTAGATTTCAAAGACCTAGAAGGAAAGAATGTAAACTATTTCAATATTTATTACATGTTAAAATGATATTATTTTAGATATACTGGATTAAATATTAAGATTAATTTTACCTTTTTAATGTGACTACTAGAGTATTTAAACTACACATTTCTCATTATATTGAATAGCACTATTCTAGAGAATTCTTAAAAGAAACTTAAAAGTTATACTTTCGTGGTATTCTCACTTCCAAAATGCTAATTATAATGCATGGCCTTCATAATTTAGATTATAAGAAGACCAGTCTAGCTCCTTATATAAAAGTTTTTGAACAGTTTCTTGAAAACCTGGATAAATCTCGAAAAGGAGAACTTCTCAAGAAGAGTGGTAAGACTATACTTTTCCCTTTTAGCTATAGATCTTAGTATAGGAAGTTGAAAGTATCCAGCAAGTGAGTCATTTTAGAGCTCTAGCCTTTGCCCTGCTAAAACAAGTTATTTATTTGGCTTACTTTCCTTAGTGTTTTAAAAATTGAGATCCCTTAATTCAATAGATATTCAATCAGGTACTATGTATCAGGTATTATAAGGAAACAAAGATTAATTATACAAAGATGAATTCCACACCATGTCTCCCTGCTCTTAGGAAGTACTAACTGAATCAAAACAAAGAAGTATAAAATGCCAAGAAAGAGATCTCATCTGATTCTGAGAACCTGAGATTTCATATGAAAAGAGTGGTATTTGAAATCTTCAATGAGCTGCTATATAGATTCTAATCCCCAATGCCAGTATACCATGTCTTAAATTATGAGTAGGATTTCCACAAACAGATTTGATGGGATAATGGTACAGGAGTGGAAATAGGTGACAGGTTCATTCTTAAAGGAACAGCAAAGGCAAAAACATTAGAGACAAACACATCAGGTCACTCTGGAGTCCGTCAAGTAGTACAACTAATCTGGAAAAAGATGTGTCAGGAAGTGATTGGAAAGAAATCTGAAAATGCAGACTGCATCCAGGGTATAGACAGCTTTGAATTCCAGTCTTGAGAGTCTGGACTTAATTCAGTAGAGACAAGGAATCTATTAAAGGTTTTTGAGGAAGGTTTTACCATGATTTATAGTTTAATCTAGCAAAATAAAATGCAATAAAAATCTGGGGAGACACAGGGAATAAAATAGAGCCCAAGAGGCCAATTGGGTAATTAACATTTAGGAGAGTAGCACTGGAGATCTCTAAAAGGTACAAATACCAGAGCCATCCTTGAGAAATGGTAATAATTTGGAAGTGGAGAGATGAAAGAGGAAAGTTAAAAGTGTTATTACAGAAGCCAGGGGAAAGGAAAGTTTCAAGGAGATTATCAAGTGTCAAATGCAGTAGAGAAGTGATAAAGTCCTGTTGGATATTGGAACTAAAAGGAGATACCAAGAGGACAGCAGTGTCAAAGGAAAAGTTCTTTGAATAGGAAAGACTCGAGCATATGTGTAAGCCAAAATGAAGAAAATCAGCAGCAAATATTATTCAGGAGGTTGATGGATACTACAGAAACCTGTGGCAATGTTACACAACTATAAACTCCCTTTCTACCTCATTTCTTATTAAAGTGCATGTTGGTTAGAGTAGTGCCCAAGACAATGCTGAACTCATAGTAGCACTCAAATATGTGCTTACTGAATGAACAATGATGACACTGAACTTGCAAAGCCTCACTGAACTTGCCATTCCAACTGGCCATATTAAGTCCTTTGTATTCTTGCTCTGTACCGGCTCCGCCTGTAATGTGGGCTTCAGCAAATGTGAAAGCAAATCTTTATGCATGATGTGAATTTAATAGAAGCATTAAGCAAATCAGAATGTGAAAATAAATGGGATTTGTTTTCCTTTACTAACCTTTGATAAGAATCTATTCTATTTCAGATTTACAGAAAGACTTCTGAAGATAACAACTCTCCTCAAACCATTGTAGATATCTTCTACCTTCAGCCAATAACCAAATACTTCAAGAGCAATTAATGAATATGGTGGAACCATATGTGTCTTAGTGCTCAAACCAAAATGTCCTTTTCTTGAAAAATAATTATGTTGAAAAGATTCCTGAAACCACCTAAGGAGACTGCCCAGGTTTCTAGAAGAGCAGTAATGAGAGGAACAAGTAGATTCCAGATAAATTTGTAAAAGTTAATATTATACAAAGATAATTCTAAGATTTTTGTTACATCTTTTACCAGTTGCCATATGTATTTTGATATACTTCTACCAGTTGCCATATGTAGAGGCAAGTGAGCAGTAATATGCTGAAGACTTTAATCTCAGCTCAAGATAACAACCTCCATATTTCTGGACTGAATATTCTAGGTACATAAGAGCTTTGTCCTTAAATCATAGACCTTAAGTTAAATTAATTATGCCTGGAGTATGTATTAGGTCATTTTTAATTTTGCTTACTGGTATTTTTATTAATCAGGCCACACCCCAATGCACATCTTTTAAAAATCCTTTTAAACTGGGCATTTCAACGTATGAGTTACTAGATTACAATATTAGGGCAGACTAGAGTGGTTTTTTTACAACTGTTGCATTTGTAGCTCCTAACTTCTTTCCTCAGAAAACAACTGGATTAGTCAACACCATAAAGCAGCAGCTTAGAATAGCCATTTCACCAACATAAAGCTTGTTTTATTTAAGACACTTCCCTTTCTACATATCCAAATACTTAAAGGTTTCTTTTTTCTTCCATATTTGATTTTTTTAATTTCTGAGAGAGAGACCGCATGAGCAGGAGAGGATCAGAGAGAGGGAGACACAGCATCTGAAGCAGGCTCCAGGCTCTGAGCTAGCTGTCAACACAGAGCCCGACGCAGGGCTCAAACCCACAGACTGTGAGATCATAACCTGGGCTAGTCAGACGCTTAACCGACTGAGCCACCCAGGCGCCCCTCATATTTGAATTTTTGCGATAGATTCTAAAAGTGTCAGATTTCTTTTGCCTAGTTTTACAACCAATCTAAACAAAACAGTCATTCTGGTTTAGTCCATCTGAGAAACTGAGAAGTCAAGCTATCAGGCTAATGCTCTGTATGACTTATGAAAATTTTCCTTCCTTTGCATTTCCTTTAACATTGTTTTCTCTGTAGCCACACAGTCTTTTTTTATCTTTTGGTTTATATGTATAAAGCAAACTTTACATTACAGTCAGTACACCGAAATGCCTTGCATTTCCTTCTCTATTCTAATCTTTTAAGAAAAAACATTAAAGACCATTGTGCAAAATTCCTTGTTATTTTGAGCTTCTATTTACTATGTATTGTTCAGTTTTTAAATTTGGAAAACAGTGGGCCAGTTAAAAATTCCTGAATACAAAATTACTAAAGACTCATCAGTCCAGTTTAACTCAGAATGGGAGTGTAAAGGCTGGTATTAGGCTTCCAATATGTCTACCATTAAAGTATTTTAATGCTTTAGTATTAAACCCATTGGATAAAGCTGCTGTACTAGCTCATAAAATTAGTTACAGAACATACTGTACTCATTGAAAAGAATGTTTTTACACTGTATGTTAACTAAATAGAATTTAAATAAAAACTTCAAAAATGTTTTTAATAATAAAGTCTTTTTTTTTTTTCCAAAATAAATGTTTGGTTCTTGAAGATAGCAGAAACATGCTCAGACTATTGACTTCCCTATTCTCTGATTTTGCTAGCTCATCCATATATAAGAATTGCAGAAACAAAGGGCACAGAACTGGTTTCCATCCCCAAACTTGCCCAATTCATAAAGAAACCCAAAGAAAGAAAATACATCTTTTCTTAGCTAGTCATTAAGGAGAGAAAAGTCAGTGAGCTTGACGGGAAAGAAAGGGAAGTGGTCAAAATAGCTTTACTTATCTGAGGAAATGATTGGCTATTGCTGATCCTTTATTCTGAAGGTAAATGGACTGCACTGACAAATCTTCCAGGTCACATATTTACTTAGAAAAAGTAACAGCACTTTTTTTTTTTTTTTTTTTACAAATAGTTTATTGTCAAATTAGTTTCCACATAACACTCAGTGCTCATCCCCACAAGTGCCCTCCTCCATGCCCATCCCCACTCCCCCCCACATCCATCAGTCCTCAGTTTTTGTCAGCATTCAAGAGTCTCTCATGGTTTGCCTCTCTCCGTTTCCCCCACCATTTCCGCCCTTCTTCTCCCCCTTGTTCCTCCGTCAAGTTCCTCCTAATCCTATACGTGCAAACATACGATAATTGTCCTTCTCTGCCTGACTTATTTCGCTCAGCATAACACCCTCAAGGTCCATCCATGTTGCTACACATGGCCAGATTTCATTCTTTCTCGTTGCCATGTAGTATTCCATGGTATAGATAAACCACATCTTCTTGATCCATTCATCTGTTGATGGACACTTGGGCTCTTTCCATGTTTTAGCTATTGTGAGTAACAGCACTTTTTAAGTAATGTACATATATTACCTAATTTAATCCCCTAATTCTATGAAGTACCTACTATTATCCCTATTCTATAGATGTGGAAACTGAGGCACAAGCAGGTTAATTAAATTGCTCAAGGTCACTATGAATTGACCAAGCTGTGATTCAGATAGAGTATGGCTACAGAGTCCATGTTCTTTTTATATACTTTTTTTTTAATTTATCTCTGCACCCAACATGGGGCTTAAACTCAGAAACCTGAGATTAAGAGTCCCATGCTCTTCCAACTGAGCTAGCCAGCTACCCCTACATTCATGTTCTTTATCCCTCCACAATATTGCCTCCCCTAACTGAAGTTTCAGAATTTCTCATTTCTGGTAAATTCCACTATTAATCCTAATTTATAAATCCTCACTTCACAAGTAGTTTTCAGAGCATAATGTCACTGCTTTGCTTAAATGACAGCCACAACTGTCTTAAAGTCATTAGCTCAAATAGTGTTAGCTGGTTTAAGTACTATATTTGTAGGGCTGAGAGAGGATATGAAGGGTCAGGGCCCATGGCCTTTTCATGAACAAAACACTGAATTACATTCTTTTTTCTGAAATAAAATTTTAACGCTTATTTATTTTTGAGGGAGAGACACAGTGTGAGTGGAGGAGGGGTTGAGAGAGACAGAATCCGAAGCAGGCTCCAGGCTCTAAGCACAGCTCAGGGACAGTGAGAGCATGACAGGAGCTGAAGTCGGACTAACCTAATGATCCACCCAGGCGCCCCATCTACTTTTCATAAATCTTACCGTATAAATCATGAGTGGGGTCTGGGACTACTAGATTACTTTCTGGATATCTGTTTGCCCAAAACATAGGAAACAAGAATTGCGTAAGTGGCTATGTTCTTTTTTCTGAGGGTAATATATATAATCGTTTCAACATCAGTTTAAATTGTGTACTCCAAAAATAAAATAGGGTTAACCTAAGTCACTGCTACCTTACAATGATGTGAATACAATCTGTGGCATTCAGTATTATTTAGTATCTCCTATTTCCCCTCATCAGTTGGAAAAGCGAAATCAAAAAGTCACTGCAATATCGCCGTGGCTACTTTACTGACCGGAGGGCAGAAGATGCTTCTTTCATTTCCCTTTGGGTATCAAAATTCCTCGACTTAGGGGATGGGAAGAGGTCGGCTATCTAAGGACTGCACGGCTATCTAAGGACTGCACGGAGCGGAGGTTCCTGCCAGACCAGGGCGTTCTGTTCTGAATTCTTACCCTTATTTAGACCTCGTCACCACCCCGTCCGGGAACGACCGGAGGGGGTCACTCAAAGGAAGTGACTGGCGGCCGCTCCTGACCCGGAATCGGTTCCTGGTCCCGCCCCCTCCACCAGGCTTCCTTCTGCAACAGGCGTGGGTCACGCTCTCGCTCGCTCTCTTTCTGCCGCCATCTTGGTTTCGCGTTCCCCGCACAGTAAGTCCTGTCTTCGCCGCTACTCTCTATCCACAGCCATCCGCCTTTTTGCGGACTGAGCCGCACTGAGGACTGAGAGCTAAGGGCAGTTGGAGGCTTTGTGGGGCCGCCGGGTTACTACTCGCCCCTGGGAAGTGTGGCCTTGGAGCCTGCGGACAAAATGGGGTCTGCGGTTGAAGTCCTGGCAAAAGCAGGGCAGAAGGGCCGTGGGCCGGGCCTGGAGGCCAGGACTGGGGAGATGAGAGCCGGTGCGGTGTTGGGGGCGGAAGCGGAGTGCGTGTGCTGTTGGGAGAGGTTTCATGAGAACCCGGAGGAGGTTAAGGGGGTCACAGCTTTGGGCCCCCCCCCCCACACACACAGACTCGCCGTTCTTAATTGTGACAAGCGAGTGTTGGGACTTAAGGCTCTCTCTTTCCCCTCCTGGTTACCGAAAGTCGACAAACGGGAGTCCTGGAGGTCCCAGCCTAGGCGGAGTGAGTGTAGGAGGGGAGGTTGTGCAATGTAGCGTCTGAAGCCTTCCGTGGTCGGGAGCGAAACCAAGATGCTCTCCCTCGGGTTGAGAACGCAGTGGTGATTGTTGCCCTTGTAGGATTTGGCGTGTAGAGTAAAAGGAACCCCTGCGCACCAGAAGTCTATTTTCTGCGGAGTAAAGAGGTAGAAGGTGATTTGCTTGATCAGAGATCTGAGCCTGACGTCTTCTTTCTTACCTATTCCAACAGCTTTGGGGAGGGTTGTCCCGAAACATCTTCATCTTTTTTTTTTTTTTTTTTTTTTGCATAATAGCCCTTCGCAGAGTTTTTAAGAATATCTGACTCGGTTGGGCCGCGGAACGGATCCCAGTCAATTCAGGCCTCCTTTTTATTCCCTTCAGAAATGCCTGGTGAAGCCACAGAAACCGTCCCTGCTACAGAGCAGGAGTTGCCACAGCCACAGGCTGAGACAGGTAGGTTCCCCTAGCCCCTTTGCTGTTCATTAAAATTGTAAGATTGACTCTAAGACCGTTTGGTGGGTAAAATGACAAAGGGAATACACTTGTTTTTCAGAGTTAAGTCATTAAAGATGGGCTGTAGCTTTACCAGGAAGGAGAGTCCCTGATACTAACTGCTGTCCTGAAGGGACTTCATTATGGAATGGAATATGAACAGTGATCCAGGAGCATTAAAATCTCCCTGGCCCACTTTAAGTTATGGTAACTGCTTCAAGGGGCATGCTGTGGAACCCACACCTCACATAGAACTGAGCTGGGAAGGGGCTCAGTGATTCTTACTTATTGGAACTGGATGACACACTTGCAGGCGGAGGAGACCTGAGCTTTTGTGAAGTTCCAGCCAGCAAGTTGCATCAAGGTTTTAGATGGCAGAGCTTGGCATTGTGCCTTCATCACATGTCTGTATGAGATGTGTCCTAGTGGTAAATGTGTTCTACTGGGCCCCAAGGCCCTCCTAGGTTGGTTAACTTATTTTATGGGTTGGCATTGAGATTTCTAATGTGCTGAAACAATGTCTGCATCAGTAGCTTGCCTGAACCCAAGATTGAAATAAAGCTTTCTTTGACTGCTCTCCAGCTTTGAAATTAATGGATGTAAACATAATGTAAAGGCAAGTTTTGAATTCTGGTTAAAATACAACTCTAGAAATCTTGAAAAGGGATAGTGAAAAAATAATGATATTCTTGCTGCGTCAGTTGTGCTGAAGTAAAGAAAGGGAATCTTAGGGCTGCAACTTAACTCCACCTGTCATTTAAGGGCAGTTTCTTTCTCTTTCTGGAATTAAAATAGCGTTGTTTATAGTTGAAAGCATTAAGGTTCTCTCTCCCCACCAGTCTGATTTCAGCAGCTGAAGGGATTAATACAGCTGCTAGAAAAGGGAGGGGGCCTCTGAGTTAGTGAACAAGCTATATGGAATCCTTGAAATACAAGGGACTTCATGGAAGGAGAAAAAATCCTGTAATTCAGTGATAACCAAAACCTTATTCAACAATGTGATTTTTACAAATGTGGAGACTGAAATTTAGATGAATTTAGAATAATCTGTTTCAAGCCTCAAAACTAATGCCATTTGCTTCTGGAGCAATCCTTAATGCCAGTAAGTTTATTTCTCAATCGTTTGCGCTTGTACGGTTGGGTTAATAAGAGTGCGCCAGTGATAAAACACTCTGAATTTTTCCTACAACTAATTAATTATTATAATGAAAAAACTAGCCCAGGCAATTGGTTATAGTGTCTAAAGCAGGTAACTTGGGACTTACCTCATCTTGAAGTCAAGTCAAAGGGAATTCTGAGTTTCTAATTTGATTAATGTGTTAGGAAGCATTTACACTCATAAGACTTTGACTTACCCACTCTTCAGGAAAAACTGGTTGAGCCGCCTATCTTTTCTGTAGTTAGATACTGGTTGAATAAATTGTGAGTTTGGATGCGGTAGGCCTTTTTTTTTTTTTTTTAATTTCCTTACAGGTATTGAGCATTTGTTGGTCTAATCCTGTTACTTCCTGAATAGTAAGCATGGTACTTTTTCATCATTCAGAAAATCTTTTGCTGAGCTTTACTCTAGTAAAGCTAGAATATTGGTCTATTTTGGCAGAATGATATACTTATCCAAATTAAGGGGTAAAGAGCCAATGTATTCTCCACTCCAGTTCCCTCCTTCCAAAATCGAACCACAGTCTGGTTTAACAAGTTGGGCTACAGTTTCATAATACAATCCCTACCCTTGTGACTAAGCTCTCTCCCTGGCAGTCTCGTTCATCTTAGATTGATGTCTGAAGGGCTAACATTACCTAGGAAAGTCTGTAGAGACTGAAGTACAACCCATTTGTGGTTGGGTGTTTTGCTTGCTTGGTCTGGGTGAGTAGGTAAATGGAGGCTTAGAGAGGCAAAGCGACTTAGTTCTTAGTACTTTTTGAATTGTGTGCCAGACACCACCTTCCTAAAACTTTATTCTAAAAGTAAGATTTTTCTGACCTTATTGGAAGCCTGAGCATATAAAGACTTGTTTTTTTCTCATTTAGCTCTGAGCCCTGGTCATTATCACCATTCGCTGTCTTCCTTGTTCTGATTTTCAGTGTCTGTTTCACTGAAACAGACTGATACTTGAGACAGAGTAGAACAGCTATTCTAGTGGTTTTCTATGGCCTTTAAGAAAGACTTGGGGTTTGTTTGAGGAAGGGAGGGAGGAGGGCACACCTGGAAAAGGATGGAAAGCATGTTATTCCCAACCCCACTCCTAGGCCTGTGCTCCCCATTTAGAGACTAAGAGACTGATTCGGCTGTTCTTTTCACCTTAAAATAGTTTGGTTTTTTGTTGTTGTTTTGTTTTTGGTACTTGGGAAATGTGGGATATGGGAAGAGAGATGTATTCTTACTCAACCACTGAAATATGTTTGGGGAAGGTTGCTGTTGCCTGTCACCTTTGTCTAATCCTGTGTGGTGACTTCATTCTCAGATTTAAAAATTCTGTGTTTCCTGTGAGGCATGTTGTACCAAGTTGGGCTGCATAACTCACCTTTGTTTTTTTCCTTCCCTTTCCTTCTTTATTCCCCTTTTTTGCTTTTCTCCTCTAGCTGTGCTTCCTGTGTCTTCAGCCTTGAATGTTACTGCTGCCTTAGGGCAGCCTGAATCTACCCTTCCCCCTCCTTGCCCTCAGGCTCCCCAACAATGCCCTCTGGCAACCCCTAACCAGCCTTCCCCATTCCTTTCTCCCTCTAGTGTTGCCTCAACCCCTTTTGCAGCTCCTTTTCCTCAGTCATCCTCTGTGACAGCCCTGCCTTTAGGAGTTGCCCCTTCCCCCACTGACACCCCAGCTTTCCTACCAAACCTACTAGGGCCTCCCATCTCCCCAGCTGCCTTAGCTCTGGCCTCTCCCATGATAACTCCAACGCTGAAAGGTGCCCATTCCTCTTCAGCTCCCTTGGCTCTGGTAGCCTTGGCTCCCCACTCAGTTCAGAAGAACTCTGCTTATCCACTTAACCCTCTTAGTTCACCTTCTTCAATTGCTGTGACTGAGTCAGGGTCAGTGACATCTCTGTCATCTCCCATTGCTTCCTCAGAACCAAAGACCTCACCTATTCAAGACCCCTTACAAGTAGACCCTCCACAAAGTACCCCCATCCCTCCAGGTATAGTCGGCACCGTTCCTTCCCATCTTGGGACTCCATTGGCCTCTGTTCAGTCTGGAGTAGTGTCATGTCCTCAGATGCTACCCACCACTCCCCCGACCATCACTCCCCCTCAGTTCAAAGACATCCCTGTTTCTTCAGCTCTGACTTCTCAACAAAACACTGAAAGCCTCAGCCTAAAGGGACCCGGTAGTTCACCTGCTGCCGTATCTGTTTCTATCCAGTCTACTACAGTGGCTCCCAACATCTCTCCAGTTTTTCTCCCTTCTCTAGGTTCTCATCCTGCACCTTTACATCCGAGTTCTCTTGGTTCTCCTGTTCAGCCCTTAGGTCAAACAGGCCCTAATGTTCTGTCACGTGCTATAGTGGATGCCACTTCTGTAGATCATTCTTCCATAGGGGCCTCTTACCCTGCTCAGAGATCTGTAAATCCTCCCCCTCCTTCCAGAAATGAGATGGCTTCTGCTGCTGTGGCTGCTTTTCCAGTGGGGGCTCGAGATTCCCCTATGGCTCTTTCTGTTGACAAAAATCCTTCTGCTGTCACTGGCATAGCCTCCTGCAACCCCTCTGGTTCATCAAATGTAGCTACCTCTTCTCCATTATCTCCTACAGCCTCTCTCATTCTCAAAGGCTCTCCTGATGCTACTCATCATCAGCCTTTGGTGGCCCAAATTCCTGTTTCTCCAGGGAGTCCAAGCTTGAAAGAAGCTCCTGTTAGTTCTGTTGGAACCACCCCATTTATTATGGCTAATCCCTCTACAGTTTCTGCAGCACCTGCTACCTTTGAGATACCTACTTATATCTCTCCTCCAATTTCATCAAGTCCCATAAGTAGTAAGGACGCCACTTCCCATACTGCCCTGGTTATGACTCCTGTGGCTCCCAAAGAGCTTTCTGCTCCTCAAGTAACAACCGCTCTGGGAATACCAGTCTCTCCTCCTCTGCCAGCCCCTGAGAACCCCAAAAGTCTCCCTGCATCAGTATTGGTAAAGTTACCAACACAAAAAGATCTCCAAACCGTACCTGCCTCTGTTGTTGGAGCCCCTGTTTCACCAGTCCAGGCAGGATTCCCTATCAAGAAAGACCCTACTCTAATACCATTGGCCCTGGCAGTCCCTAAAAATCCCCCCTCTTCCCAAAGTACATCACCATTGGAGATATCTCTTTCTCCTGAAGCCACCTTAGCAAAGAAAAACCTTGGAGATCCTCTCCCTGTAGTTACGCCAGTCAGTACTATTCCCTCTCCTATAGGTGTTAACTCACCAATTTCTGTAATTAAGACAGATCCTTATGCAAGCCCAGACCCCAGTAGTCTGCTTCCCAAAAGTTCTCTCCCTACTCCAACCATAGCTACATTTCCTGCTGCCACTGCTGGGGTGACTCCTAACACTACAGCCAGTCCTTTCCTAGGAGCTCTCTCTTTGGCTCATAAAAGCCACCCAGAGGGTAGTTCCACTATTAGTATTTTACCATCTGTTCCTCCAGCCTCTGAAAGTTGCCCTATGGCTCCAACTGTGACTTTATCCCACCAGAATGTTTCTGCTTTTCCAGCTGCCATGGCACTGGCCCCCGAAATTCCCAAGTCTGAGCCCTTTCCCTCTCTTCCTCCTCAAGGTGCAAAGAAAGTTCATGGTATTTCTCATACCTCGGCAGTGGAACCTGTGGCTTCCTCTCCTGAAGGGCACCCAGCCAAGGACTCTGGTTCTTCTGTTAATGCATCTTCTCAAGGAACTTCCCTAGTTGACTCCCCATCTCCTTTAGAGACTAGTGTGTCTCCCCAAACTAAAAGACGTCCAACCAAGAAGGGTTCAACTACTTCTACTACCCCAACTCTTTCTAGAAGTGTACCTGCTATCCCTGATGTTCCTGCTGGAAATCACTCATCTACTATTTCTCCAGTTGAAGCTTCCTTTCTTCCAGAGGCCAATCTTTCTTTTCAAGCCCCTAAAGGGTCATTGGCCAAGAAGCATTCCCCCACTCCATCCCCCAAAGAGGCCCCAGATACCCCATTTCCCAAAGAGGTTTCTACTCCCCCAGCTGTGGCTCCTCCCACCCCCAAAGGGGGCCCAGCAACCTCATCCCCTAAAGAGACTTCTGCTCCTCCATCTATGACTCCTTCCTCCCTCAAAGAGTCCCCAGCTATCCACCCTCCCATAGGGGCGCCTACCCCACAAGCTGTGGCTCCTGCATCTCCCAAAGAGTCCCAAGCAACTTCAGCCCCCAAGAGAGCCCCGACTGTGGCTCCTCCCTCCCCCAAAAAGTCCCAAGCAACTCCAGCCCCCAGGAGAGCCCCAGCTACTCCATCTCCCAAAGGGACCTCTGCTGCCCCAGCTGTGGCTCCTCCTTCCCCCAAAGGGGGCCCCGCAATCCCATCCCCTAAAGAAACCTCCACTTCCCCAGCTATGACTCATTCCTCCCCCAGAGAATCCCCAGCTACCCAACTTCCCAAAGGAGCTCCCACTACCCCAGCTGTGGCTCCTGCCTCTCCGAAAGAGTCCCAAGCAACTACAGCCCCCAAAGGGGGCCCAGCAACCCAAACCTCTGAAGAGACCTCCACTCCCCCAGCTAAGACTCCTTCCTCCCCCAAAGGAGGTCCAGCAGCCCCCTCCTCTAAAGAGACCTCCACTCCCTCAGCTAAGACTCCTTCCACCCTCAAAGGGGGCCCAGCAACTCCATCCTCTAAAGAGACCTCCACTCCCCCAGCTAAGACTCCTTCCTCCCCCAGAGGGGGCCCAGCATCCCCATCCTCTAAAGAGACCTCTACTCCCTCAGCAAGGACTCCTCCCTCCCCCAAAGGGGGCCCAGCAGCCCCCTTCCCTAAAGAGACCTCCCCTCCCACAGCTAGGACTGCTTCCTCCCCCAAAGCTGCCCAAGCTCCCAGAGGGGCCCTGATCCCTCAAGCTGTGGCTCCTGCCTCTCCCAAAGAGCCCCAAGCAACTCCAGCCCCCAAAAGAGCCCCAGCTACCCCACCTTCCAAAGGGACCCCCACTCCCCCAGCTGTGGCTCCTCCCTCCCCCAAAAAGTCCCAAGCAACTCCAGCCCCCAAAAGAGCCCCAGCAACTCCATCTCCCAAAGGGTCCCCCAATGAACCAGCTGTGGCTCTTCCCTCCCACAAAGAGTCCTCAGTTACCCAACCTCCCAAAGGAGCCCCCACTCCCCCGACTGTGGCCCCTCCCTCCCCCAAAGGAGGACCAGATACCCCACCCCCCAAAGGAGCCCCCACTCCCCCGACTGTGGCCCCTCCCTCCCCCAAAGGAGGACCAGCAATCCCATCCCCTAAAGAGACCCCCACTCCCCCAACAATAACCCCTTCCTCTGCCAAAGGGGCCTCAGCTGCCCCATCTCTCAAAGGGACCTTTACTCCCTCACCTGTGACTCCTTCCTCCCCCAAAGAGTCTCCAGCTACCCCAGCCTCCAGAGGGACCTCAGCAACTCCATCCCCCAAAAGAGCCCCAGGAACCCCATCCTCCAAAGGAACCTCAGCAACTCCATCCACCAAAAGATCATCAGCTACCCCATCCTCCAAAGGTGTCCCCACTCCCTCACCTGAGATTCCTCCCTCACCCAAAGAGGCCTGTATATCTCCAGTTTCAGTTACATGTCCCTTGGGGTCCGTTGCCCCTCAGGCATCTAAAGGCCTACCAATGAAAGGTCCCGCAGCTCCAGAAAGCGTGCCAGTTGTCACAGCTCCCCCTGAGAAAGATCCATTGGCCAAGAAGAGTTCTGCTACTCCACCTCCTGTGTGCTCAGATCCCTCAGCCAAGAATGATATTAAAGGACCCCTTTCTACAATGGCTCCAGCTTCTCTACTGACAGTCTCTGCTCAGAAAGCCTCTTCTCCAAAGACCCTCCCTGTTTCTCCGTTAAAAGGCAAAGATTCTTTTCATTCCCCAAAGAGCCCTTTGGCTCTTCCTCCTGAATCTGTGACATCTACCCCTCTAGCAGCAGCTTCCTCTGAGATGGTCCTTCCTAATGCTGGATCAGCATCTGTCTCTCCAGCACCCACCCCATCAGTCTCTCTGCCTCTCGCTCCCTCCCCGGTTCCCCCTCTGCTTCCTAAACAGCAATTTCTGCCGTCCTCACCTGGGCTGGTGCTGGAATCACCCTGTAAGCCCTCAGCCCCTGCTGATGAGGATGAGCTGCCGCCTCTGATTCCCCCGGAACCAATCTCGGGGGGAGTGCCTTTCCAGTCGGTCCTCGTCAACATGCCCACCCCTAAACCTGCTGGGATCCCTGCCCCAACCCCCTCTGCCAAGCAGCCTGTTCTGAAGAACAACAAGGGTATTTGCCTTGGTTTGCTGTGTGCATGGTGTGTTGCCCACACCCCTCCTGGGGCCACCCACCAATACTAACCCTAGGATGCGCCGCTCCAGTGTATCTGCTTGTGTTTGGACATAGAACATAGAATGATACCATTTTAAATGCAAAAGCTCTAGGTATATGAAACAATCTTGGTTTTCATCACCTCAGATAGTCTGTTTTGTATCATCTTGTCTAATGTCCAGGCCAACCCTGGATCTGCCGTCTTTTTTACCTGAATGATCTGACATTGAAAACCAAGACCTGTTAGATCCTTTAATGTGCTCTAATCTCTGCCACATGACTAACTTTGTCCCTGGGCCTGGGATTTGCTAAAATGTTGGGAAATACGGAACTATTTGCATTTCTTTTTACTTCTTAGATTTAGTAATGACCAGTGCCCAAGGGACTCCCTGTCCAAGACCTTTTCCTAGCCTGAGAATGGTGCAGGTGTATGCTTTCTTCTCTCAGTAGTCTTTATTGATGCTTGGCCTTTTGATTGAGGTAAACTTAAAATGCGTGAATTCTATTTGGAAAATGGGAGAGGTTACAGGACAGGATCTAAAAGAGGTGAGAGAACTGTAGGTTGGCAGTCATTGAGAATCTTTGAGCTATGATGATTAGACCAAATTGCTTGGGTAAGTGGTTTAAAAATAAGGCTAAATGTGTGTACACAACTGCTTCTGGCCTTCCCCAACCCAGTCAGTATAAAGGATAAGGGGAAAATGTTCTCTCTGGCCTGCCTTCACAATGTGAACTTACTGCTTTTTCACTTAAATGTATCTGGAGATACCTTGTCTGCCAGAACCTCTTTGAGATGGTTGGGTGATTGGGTAGAATTTGTAGTTAGGTAGGTCATTGGTATTTGCCCGTTCCAGTAAGTAAAGACCTTGAGAAAGGAAGCAGTTACGGTTTATAAACTGCTTGGCTGTAACTAGTACTTACCTCTCATTTCTGGGGCTGGGTCTTTAATGGATGTGTACACACTAGTTTGTGACTAGGTTGAAGGCTTTTGAGCTGGCTTCACACAAATCAGTTGGTTTACACTTAACTTTGTGAGGTCTAGCATAAGCCAGTGATATCTAGTCCAGGCAGACTATGGTAAGGTGCCTCCTCCTTATAATGTAGTATAAAATAGTAAAAGTTATTTGTCATCTCAGGATCTGGGACAGAATCCGACAGTGATGAATCAGTACCAGAGCTTGAGGAACAGGATTCCACACAGACAACCACCCAACAAGCCCAGGTCAGTATTCTCTTATTCACTGGTCAAAATACTTGTGCCAAGGAAGCATTGGAGAACAAGAGTTGATCAGAGAAGCTGACTTAAGTATTTGGAGAAGTGTACCTTCATAAAGGGAAAGTCTCCTGGGGATTTTAGTATCTTGGCTTCACTAACATTCCAGTTTACTCATAGTTGTTTTATCTTCTTAGTTGGCAGCAGCAGCTGAAATTGACGAAGAACCAGTCAGTAAAGCAAAACAGAGTCGGAGTGAAAAGAAGGCACGGAAGGTGAGATTTTAAGTTATAAACCAGAATTAAAGGTTCTGATGAAGCAGCTTTAGAGAGGGGAAACTGTAGGGTAGTATATTTAAAGTGACAAATTACTATGGTAGAAAGCTCAGAAGTCTTGGAAGCCAATTCTGTATTATATAAACTTAGCCTAGGAAAAGGTTTTGCTTTGATGTAGTTATTAATGTGTTATTTATTTCCTGAAGCTGCTTCTAAAGAAATGAAAAACCTGATGTTTTCTATTTCTTAGGCTATGTCCAAACTAGGTCTTCGACAGGTTACAGGGGTTACAAGAGTCACTATCCGGAAATCTAAGAATATCCTCTTTGTCATCACAAAACCAGATGTCTACAAGAGCCCAGCTTCAGATACCTACATAGTTTTTGGGGAAGCCAAGGTAAAGAAAGTTTTCATGGATACGCTATAGACCGTGGATGCTCACCTTCAACACTAGTCACTAGTAATAGAGTTAGATAATTCTCTGGTGTGGAATATGGGGCTGTAATTTTGAGTCAGATAATTCTTTGTTATAGAGGAGCTTTCCTGTGTGTTACAGATGTGTAACAACATCACACCCAGGTGTGATAACCAAAAAAAAAATCTCCAGACATTTGACAGATTTCCCTGGGTGACAAAATCACCTCCCAGTTGAGAACCACTGTTCTAGAGCTAAGCTACAACTCTTTCCACAGTGATATATAATCTTAGTGAAGACAAGCAATTCAAAACTATATAGTAAGTTAACCCAAAGTGGTTTTAGAGTGAGAATTTGGAAAAGATATAAATGATTTATTTCATTTACTACAGACCAATCTATTTACATAAATCTGTATTTTCTGCCCTTTAGATTGAAGATTTATCTCAGCAGGCCCAACTAGCAGCTGCTGAGAAATTCAAAGTTCAAGGTGAAGCTGTCTCAAATATTCAAGAAAACACACAGACTCCAACTGTACAAGAAGAGAGTGAAGAAGAAGAGGTATATAGGAAAATCTTTTATACTTTTAATCCTCTGCAGATAATACCATGTTTGTATTGATGGGATTCTATATTGCTTTAAGCTTTCAAACTCCATTGAGTTAAATAATTTTGAGTTATATTAAGAACTAGATTTGGTACAGGGTGCCTGGTTGGCTCAGTCAGTTAAGTGTCTGACTTTGGCTTAGGTCATGATCTTGCAGTTTGTGAGCTTGAGCCCTGCATCAGGCTCTGTGCTGACAGCTCAGAGCCTTGAGCCTGCTTCAGATTCTGTGTCTCCCTCTCTCTGCCCCTCCCCTGTTTGTGTTCTCTCTGTCTCTCTCAAAAAAATAAACAAAACATTAAAAATTTAAAAAAAAAGATTCAGCACACTTTGGTGGCTCAGTAAGTTAAGTGTCTGACTTTTGATCTCAGCTCAGGTCATTACCTCATGGTTCATGGGGTTGATTCAAGAGACTCCTTAACTCCCAAAGAACTGTTAAAGTTGTTCTTGCCTTTATTATTTTTGTTTCTCTCTCTCTTAGGTTGATGAAACAGGTGTAGAAGTTAAGGACATAGAACTGGTCATGTCACAAGCAAATGTGTCAAGAGCAAAGGCAGTCCGAGCCCTGAAGAACAACAGTAATGATATTGTAAATGCTATTATGGTAAGTGTCCAGTCCTTTACTTATTCCTCGACTCTCTCTGCCCTGACCAATTATGGGTGGCATTATTTTCTGTGGCTTAATATCAGCCGGTTAGGAAGCTTCACAACAAAATCTATTCTGAATTATCTCATATTTTAATGGCCTGAATTTTTAATCTGCCTATAACTACTTCTAATGATCTTTTCTATTACAGGAATTAACAATGTAACCGTCTGAAAACGAGGACCCTTTTTTGGTGTTTCAAAAGAATAACTGCAGCTTGGTTTGAAATTTGTACTGTTTCTATCATTAATAAAGTTATGGCCTCTTGTTGGATGAACTCAGTGGGTACTTGGTCTCTTCTCCCACCCCCCAAAATTGAAGGCTCTAGAAATGAGAACACATTAATTACTCTTAAGACTTCAACTTCAGTTGAAAAGATTTAGTGTCACAGATTGCTCACTTAAAATCTCAGATCTCCGTCTTCATCTCCTGTAAGAAGATATTATGCTTGGCTATCTGTTAGGGCTTTCTTGTCTTCAGAAAATAGTTTATAAAGTTTCCCTTTTCCATTTTCTTTCCTTTTGTTAACTGTTGGTAAATTCTGATTCTTCTTTAATAATTGTCAGCCTCTTTTCTGCCCTACAGTCTTGCTGAATATATATTGGTTACCTCTGGACATGTAAGAGCTTGGTACAGGGTTGGAGAGAGTGCATAATGGATGTGGATGAAAAGATTGCACTTTGTAGAAAATGAAAAGGTAACTCATGAAGAGAGTTTTTGACTTCTATACACTGCAAACACTCCTCCTAAACAACACTACAGACATTTTAGTGTACAAAATAAATTATGACTAGGTTGGCCATAATTATGCTAGGATAATAAGTAAAAACCAGATAAATTGATACATAACAATTAGCCAGTGTATGATAAGTATACACAATGCCAGGCGGTGCCTGGGTGACTCAGTTGATTTAAGTATCCAGTTCTTGATTTTTGCTCAGGTCATGATCTCCTAGTTTGGGAGTTTGAGCCCGCATCAGGTTCTGCATTGGCAGTGTGGCGCCTACTTGGGATTCTGTCTCTCTGCCCCTCTCCTGCACTCAATCACTCTCTCTCAAAAATAAACACTTAACAGGGGCGCCTGAGTGGTGTCCTCTGTTGAGCATCAGACTTCAGCTCAGGTCGTGATCTCATGGTTCATGGGTTCAGGCCCCATATCAGGTTCTGTGCTGACAGCTCAGAGCCTGGACCCTGCTTCGGATCTGTGTCTCCCTCTCCCTCACCCACTTGTGCTCGCTGTCTTGCTCTCTCTCACAAATGAATAAACATTTAAAATTAAATAAACATTGGGGCGCCTGGGTGGCTTAGTCGGTTAAGCGCCTGACTTTCGCTTAGGTCATGATCTCACGGTTAATGGGTTCGAGCCCCACGTCGGGCTCTGTGCTGACTCCCAGCTCAGAGCCTGGAGCCTGTTTCCATCTGTGACTCCCTCTCTCTCTGACCCTCCCCTGCTCACACTGTCTCTCTCTCTCTCTCTCTCCTAGAAGTAAATAAAACATTTAAAAAATAATAATACTAAAATTAAATTAAATAAACATTTAAAATATGTATACACACACACACACACACATATACATAACTCCATAGAAGTCCTCTGAAGAGTAAACTCTGAGTTTTGGTTGTTAGGAAATGGTTTGTGGAAAAGCAGAGAACTAAAATTTGGAAATAGGGAGACTACAAGTAAATGAGGCAAGAATCCTAAAACGGGTACCTGGGTGGCTCGGTTAAGCGTCCAACTTTGGCTCAGGTCATGATTTCATGGTTCGTAGGTTCAAGTCCTGCGTTCGGCTCTGTGCTAACAGCTAGCTCAGAGACTGGAGCCTGTCTTTGGATTCTGTATCTCCGTCTCTGATCCTCCCCTGCTGGCGCTGTCTCTGGCTCTCAAAAATAAAAAACATTAAAAATAAAAGAAAATTTTATAAAAAAAGAATCTTAAAGAAGTGATAATACACCCAGAAGGAATGTTAGAATGGCTATAAGTCAGATGAACATGGAGGACTTGGAGACTAAAGTTTAGACATTGCCTTTTTCTTTTGTAATTTTTTTTTTTAATGTTTTATTTATTTCTGAGAGACTATGTGAGCAGGGGAGGGTCAGAGAGAGGGAGATACAGAATCTGAAACAGGCTTCAGGCTCTGAGCTGTCAGCACAGCCCAACATGGGGCTCAAACCCATGAACTGTGAGATCATGACCTGAGCTGAAGTCAGACAACTTAGCCGACTGAGCCACCCAGGCACCCCTGTGATGTTTATTTTTGAGAGAGAGTGTGAGAGTAGGGGAGGGGCAGAGAGAGACCCCAATGCAGGGCTTGCAAGATTCTCAAGCTAGAAAATCATGACCTGAGCCAAACTCAGACACCCAAATGCCCCTAAAGTTTAGACATTTCTTTTTTTCTTTAAGTTTATTTGTATATATTTTGAGAGCGAGAGAGCAAGCAGGGGAGGAGTAGAGAGAGAGACAAAATCCCAGGCAGGATCTGCACTGTCAGTGCAGAGCCCATTGCAGGGCTTAAACTGAACCATTATATCATGACCTGATCCTAAGTCAAGAGTGAATACTTAACCGACTGAGCCACTCAGACACCCTTAGACATTTCTGTTCTTGAATTCAGTTTAAGTAATCTCTATACCCACTGTGGGGCTTGAACTCATAACCCTGAGATCGAGTATAGTATGCTCCTCCAAACAGCTAGCCAGGCATCCCTGGATGTTGGTCTTCTTGATTCCTATGAGAGTAGGTTTTTGTTTTGTTTTTTGAGAGAGAGATACAGACAGCATGAGCAGGGAAGGGTCAGAGAGAGGGAGACACAGAATCCAAAGACAGGCTTCAGGCTCTAGGCTCTGAGCTGGCTGTCAGCACAGTCCAACGCAGGGCTCGAACCGATGAACTGTGAGATCATGACTTGAGCTGAAGTCGGACGCTTAACCGACTGAGCCCCCCAGATGCCCCAGAGAGTAGGTATTTTTTAACACATGTGAATGAAAGCTGAGGAACAGATGAAATTACTTCCCCAAAGACAGCTACTGAAGAGCAGAGCCTTTCATTGCGATAGGCTGTATTTATAGAATGTGGTAGACTATCCTGGAGAAGCACAAATTGACATCTGGCTGAGAATCCTGACCTGTTTCCATTTTACTGCAGTAGAATAAATAGTTCATTGGCCGAACAAGTCTCATGAGACTAATGATAGATGCCTTGACTGCCAAATCTGAGCCCAGTAGTTTTTTTTTTAATGTTTATTTTTGGGGGNATTACCTCATGGTTCATGGGGTTGATTCAAGAGACTCCTTAACTCCCAAAGAACTGTTAAAGTTGTTCTTGCCTTTATTATTTTTGTTTCTCTCTCTCTTAGGTTGATGAAACAGGTGTAGAAGTTAAGGACATAGAACTGGTCATGTCACAAGCAAATGTGTCAAGAGCAAAGGCAGTCCGAGCCCTGAAGAACAACAGTAATGATATTGTAAATGCTATTATGGTAAGTGTCCAGTCCTTTACTTATTCCTCGACTCTCTCTGCCCTGACCAATTATGGGTGGCATTATTTTCTGTGGCTTAATATCAGCCGGTTAGGAAGCTTCACAACAAAATCTATTCTGAATTATCTCATATTTTAATGGCCTGAATTTTTAATCTGCCTATAACTACTTCTAATGATCTTTTCTATTACAGGAATTAACAATGTAACCGTCTGAAAACGAGGACCCTTTTTTGGTGTTTCAAAAGAATAACTGCAGCTTGGTTTGAAATTTGTACTGTTTCTATCATTAATAAAGTTATGGCCTCTTGTTGGATGAACTCAGTGGGTACTTGGTCTCTTCTCCCACCCCCCAAAATTGAAGGCTCTAGAAATGAGAACACATTAATTACTCTTAAGACTTCAACTTCAGTTGAAAAGATTTAGTGTCACAGATTGCTCACTTAAAATCTCAGATCTCCGTCTTCATCTCCTGTAAGAAGATATTATGCTTGGCTATCTGTTAGGGCTTTCTTGTCTTCAGAAAATAGTTTATAAAGTTTCCCTTTTCCATTTTCTTTCCTTTTGTTAACTGTTGGTAAATTCTGATTCTTCTTTAATAATTGTCAGCCTCTTTTCTGCCCTACAGTCTTGCTGAATATATATTGGTTACCTCTGGACATGTAAGAGCTTGGTACAGGGTTGGAGAGAGTGCATAATGGATGTGGATGAAAAGATTGCACTTTGTAGAAAATGAAAAGGTAACTCATGAAGAGAGTTTTTGACTTCTATACACTGCAAACACTCCTCCTAAACAACACTACAGACATTTTAGTGTACAAAATAAATTATGACTAGGTTGGCCATAATTATGCTAGGATAATAAGTAAAAACCAGATAAATTGATACATAACAATTAGCCAGTGTATGATAAGTATACACAATGCCAGGCGGTGCCTGGGTGACTCAGTTGATTTAAGTATCCAGTTCTTGATTTTTGCTCAGGTCATGATCTCCTAGTTTGGGAGTTTGAGCCCGCATCAGGTTCTGCATTGGCAGTGTGGCGCCTACTTGGGATTCTGTCTCTCTGCCCCTCTCCTGCACTCAATCACTCTCTCTCAAAAATAAACACTTAACAGGGGCGCCTGAGTGGTGTCCTCTGTTGAGCATCAGACTTCAGCTCAGGTCGTGATCTCATGGTTCATGGGTTCAGGCCCCATATCAGGTTCTGTGCTGACAGCTCAGAGCCTGGACCCTGCTTCGGATCTGTGTCTCCCTCTCCCTCACCCACTTGTGCTCGCTGTCTTGCTCTCTCTCACAAATGAATAAACATTTAAAATTAAATAAACATTGGGGCGCCTGGGTGGCTTAGTCGGTTAAGCGCCTGACTTTCGCTTAGGTCATGATCTCACGGTTAATGGGTTCGAGCCCCACGTCGGGCTCTGTGCTGACTCCCAGCTCAGAGCCTGGAGCCTGTTTCCATCTGTGACTCCCTCTCTCTCTGACCCTCCCCTGCTCACACTGTCTCTCTCTCTCTCTCTCTCCTAGAAGTAAATAAAACATTTAAAAAATAATAATACTAAAATTAAATTAAATAAACATTTAAAATATGTATACACACACACACACACACATATACATAACTCCATAGAAGTCCTCTGAAGAGTAAACTCTGAGTTTTGGTTGTTAGGAAATGGTTTGTGGAAAAGCAGAGAACTAAAATTTGGAAATAGGGAGACTACAAGTAAATGAGGCAAGAATCCTAAAACGGGTACCTGGGTGGCTCGGTTAAGCGTCCAACTTTGGCTCAGGTCATGATTTCATGGTTCGTAGGTTCAAGTCCTGCGTTCGGCTCTGTGCTAACAGCTAGCTCAGAGACTGGAGCCTGTCTTTGGATTCTGTATCTCCGTCTCTGATCCTCCCCTGCTGGCGCTGTCTCTGGCTCTCAAAAATAAAAAACATTAAAAATAAAAGAAAATTTTATAAAAAAAGAATCTTAAAGAAGTGATAATACACCCAGAAGGAATGTTAGAATGGCTATAAGTCAGATGAACATGGAGGACTTGGAGACTAAAGTTTAGACATTGCCTTTTTCTTTTGTAATTTTTTTTTTTAATGTTTTATTTATTTCTGAGAGACTATGTGAGCAGGGGAGGGTCAGAGAGAGGGAGATACAGAATCTGAAACAGGCTTCAGGCTCTGAGCTGTCAGCACAGCCCAACATGGGGCTCAAACCCATGAACTGTGAGATCATGACCTGAGCTGAAGTCAGACAACTTAGCCGACTGAGCCACCCAGGCACCCCTGTGATGTTTATTTTTGAGAGAGAGTGTGAGAGTAGGGGAGGGGCAGAGAGAGACCCCAATGCAGGGCTTGCAAGATTCTCAAGCTAGAAAATCATGACCTGAGCCAAACTCAGACACCCAAATGCCCCTAAAGTTTAGACATTTCTTTTTTTCTTTAAGTTTATTTGTATATATTTTGAGAGCGAGAGAGCAAGCAGGGGAGGAGTAGAGAGAGAGACAAAATCCCAGGCAGGATCTGCACTGTCAGTGCAGAGCCCATTGCAGGGCTTAAACTGAACCATTATATCATGACCTGATCCTAAGTCAAGAGTGAATACTTAACCGACTGAGCCACTCAGACACCCTTAGACATTTCTGTTCTTGAATTCAGTTTAAGTAATCTCTATACCCACTGTGGGGCTTGAACTCATAACCCTGAGATCGAGTATAGTATGCTCCTCCAAACAGCTAGCCAGGCATCCCTGGATGTTGGTCTTCTTGATTCCTATGAGAGTAGGTTTTTGTTTTGTTTTTTGAGAGAGAGATACAGACAGCATGAGCAGGGAAGGGTCAGAGAGAGGGAGACACAGAATCCAAAGACAGGCTTCAGGCTCTAGGCTCTGAGCTGGCTGTCAGCACAGTCCAACGCAGGGCTCGAACCGATGAACTGTGAGATCATGACTTGAGCTGAAGTCGGACGCTTAACCGACTGAGCCCCCCAGATGCCCCAGAGAGTAGGTATTTTTTAACACATGTGAATGAAAGCTGAGGAACAGATGAAATTACTTCCCCAAAGACAGCTACTGAAGAGCAGAGCCTTTCATTGCGATAGGCTGTATTTACAGAATGTGGTAGACTATCCTGGAGAAGCACAAATTGACATCTGGCTGAGAATCCTGACCTGTTTCCATTTTACTGCAGTAGAATAAATAGTTCATTGGCCGAACAAGTCTCATGAGACTAATGATAGATGCCTTGACTGCCAAATCTGAGCCCAGTAGTTTTTTTTTTAATGTTTATTTTTGGGGGACAGAGAGCACCAGCAGGGGAAGGGCAGATAGAGAGGGAGACCAAAGCAGGTTCCAGGCTCTGAGCTGTCAGCACAGAACCTGATGCAGGGCTTGAACTCATGAACCATGAGATCATGACCTGAGCTGAAGTCTGATGTTTAACCAAGTGAGCCACCCAGGTGTCCCATGAGCCCAGTAATTCTTATTTCAGGAAGAAATTTAGGGATATAAACTCTACTAATCTCACCCTTCACTCCTACAGAGTTAAACTGCCAATTCTTGGTTACTTTTTAATTTTTTTTTTTAATGTTTATCTTTGAGAGCAAGAGAAAGCAAGCAGGGAGTGGCAGAGAGAGGGGGACACAGAATCCCAAACAAGCTGCATGCTGTCTACTGCACTCAGAACTGGGGAACAAACCCATGAGATCATGACCTGAGCCCAAATCTAGTTGATGTTTAACCACTGAGCCACCCAGACACCCTCTTGGTTACTTTTTTAGGAAGTATGTTCAAGGCTATTACTGCCACAAATGCTATACTTCTATTACTTCCCACCTCAAGGACCTTGCTGTTGCTATTCTTTTTTCTTCAACCATTCATTAATCCCTTCCCCTTAAGCATTTTTTTTCCCACCACTTTGATATGTACAACTAACTTTCTCTGTCACAGAATGATCTCAAATCATTTTGGCTCTCAAATTAGGGAATGTAAAATTTGAGCCAAGGGGTGCCTGGGTGGCTTAGTCGGTTAAGCGTCCGACTTTCGCTTAGGTCATGATCTCGCAGTTCGTGGGTTCGAGCCCCGCGTCGGGCTCTGTGCTGACTGCCAGCTCAGAGCCTGGATCCTGTTTCAGATTCTGTATCTCCTTCTCTCTCTGACCCTCTCCTGCTCACGCTGTCTCTCTCTCTCTCTCCTAGAAATAAATAAAACATTAAAAAAAAAAAAAAAAATTTGAGCCAAAAAAAAATTTTTTTAATAACTACTCTCCTGGTTCTTAAAATTATTATTAAGTCTTTATTCAGATACTCAATAGACCATTTAACAATGATATTTTAGGTAACCTCTGACTTCATCTTTTATAAAACAAGGAGCACCTAGATGGCTCAGTCTGTTGAGCATCGAACTCCTGTTTTAGGTCAGGTAATGATCCCAGGGTCTTAGAATCAAGCTCCACGCTCAGCGTGGAGTCTGCTTGAGATTCTCTTTGTCTCCCTCTGCCCCCTCCCCCATGCTTGTTCTCACACTGGGCACAGATGTGTCAGTCAGTTAAGCATCTGATTTCAGTTCAGGTCATGATCTCCTGGCTTGTGAGTTTGGCCCTGCATCAGGCTCTCTGCTGTCAGTGTAGAGCCTACTTTGGATTCTTTCTCCCTTGCTCCCTGTCCCTCCCCCACTAGTGCATGCGTGTTCTTTCTCTCAAAAATAAACATTGAAGGCGAACCATGAGAGACTCTTGAATGTTGAGAACAAACTGAAGACTGATGGGTATGTGGGGGAGGGAAAGGGGGTGATGGACATGGAGGAGGGCATTTGTAGGGATGAGCACTGGGTGTTATATGGAAACCAACTTGACAATAAACTATTTTAAAAAATAAACATTGAAAAAATTAAATTAAAAAAAACCCTGGTGCTTCCAAAGCATATATAAGATTGTTAGCAGCATTTTGCTAAGAATCTGTGAAATTCACAGGTTATTTACTGAATGACCCTTCTCATTTCTAAAGGAAAAATAAAGCAGTCCAGTTTAATTAGCTGTATTCTCACCATGTTTCTCCATTAGCAGATTTTCCTTTTTGGGGGGAAATACTTCAAACATGCAGATAAAGGACTATGTGAATCTGTCACCCAGCTGTTTTGTTTTTTAGAAATTAAACCATACAGATATATATGGAGACCCCTGTATACCCTTCCTCAGTCCTATTTCCCTCCCTCAGAGATACCACTATCATGAGCTACTGTTTTAGGACTAATTTCTATAAATGAGTTGATACTCTCTCAATCCATATTTATGTACCTAAAGAAGTTAGTGATCTGCAAGTTTTATTT